TGTAACAAGATACAAACATCCCTCTGACTGAACAACACACTGAATACAGCTTTAACTATCTATCATAAACTGGTTGTTTATGCATGCACACACCATACACAGACACACATTCCCTCTATGCTCAGCACAGGTTTAGCCTAATCTAAATTTGTCATGTAAAAGTTTCTAAAGTCTAGTTTATTAAGTCTTTAGTTAGTTTTGCTTAGACTAACAGGGAAAAGTATAATAGAATATTGCCAACATTTTCACTATAAAGCTTTAAGGTTTATTATCAGCTTATTTATTATCATTATAAACATATTTGGAAAAGCAAAATGTGATTCTAGAGAATTAGCTGAGCAGTAATGAGCCCCAGTGAAATCATTTTTTATCAAAGCCACCAAATTTTGCAGCTGAAAGATTAAAATGGCGATCATCCTGTGTTATTGCCAGTGATGTCACTGGCTGTGTCATTGGTGATGTCACGTCAGATACTCAGTCGGCAGTCGAAAGATAAATTTAGGCTAATCTGGGATAGGAGCACACAGATACACCAACACACACACACAGAAATTACACTGTACACTGTCTACAGAACCCAGGATGGATACACACAAACACAGAGTACACTAATCCATGTTACTCTAGAGTATGTACCTGTCCCAGATCAGTTGCGTGCAGACAGGCTGAGCACATTCTCTAAGGGCTTAGATTAAACACACACACACACACACCCCAATCACAGCGGCCGAATTGTAATGTCTCTGTTTCACATGCTCAAAAACATCATCATTACACTAAAGGCCTGTTGGCAGAGATGACATATAATCAAATCATTCAGAGTTGCTTTCTCATTTGCACAGACACACACAGTCACTTGTGGCCAGGATCGGTCCAGAACCAATTTAAAGAGAACTGCAGGTAAGAGTCCATTCTGACCCTGAACGTTGCAGGTGTTTTGCACAAGCAGAAAGTGCAAGAGTCAGGACAGAAGACTGAAAATGTCTTCCCATTTTAATTACATTGTCTCACTGCAAACAGTCATAGTTTTTTATTTTATTTTCATTTTTAAAGCACTCATAAACTATCATGGATGTCCAGTGCAGCATCAATTGTTAGACTTAATAACTAAATACTGAGCAAGCTTGTAACAAAAGGGTGAGGTAAAAAAAAAGAAGGAAACAAAGGAAACTGTTTTGTTTCTTTGCTTGGCAAAAACTCACACACAAATGTAACATTCCTCATTCTCATCAGAAACACTGAGTTTACCAACCAACAGCTTGTGTTAATCTTCTACCACACAGCTGTGTTAAACATAAGGAGCTGGGTGCAGCTCAACGAGATCAAAGCAATAGTTTTCATATCCTTGGTAGTATCCTATATTAAACTGTGGAATTTTCAAAAGACCTAAATGGACCACCAGATTATCATGAAGGCTGAAGAGAAAGCCTTTTTCCACATGCCATTAGCATGATGAACCCTGTATATCCTGGGTTGTGTCTTGCACTCTATAAATTCTTTGCATTGTCCTGCATGTTGTTTGTTTGCAAGTGTATGTAAAATTCCATTATGTATACTGTAGTTTCAATTAAGACAGACATATTTTACAGTTTTACACATATTTGTCATTCTTTCATTATATATATACAGTATATGATCATTTTAGGCTTTTAGTGGAGCCTTGATTTGTATGGCACACTGTGATTCACTGCATATACAGTATGAAAAGCTCTGCTCTGTTTTCCTCAGAAGATATTTAGTGCTGGGGGTCACAGTTTAATGAAGCTGACAGAAGATCATCATTAGCAAAAAGCAAAGACATAAATCTGAGGTTACTGAAGTGGATAGGCTGTGACATTTTTCATTTTGCTGCAGAACCACCATGTCTAGTATAGTATCCACCTCTGCAGTGGAGTGTGACTGCAACGCTTGGTACACAATAATTGACAATAATTAAAGGAATTAAGCACAGACTCATCTTACTTCAAACAGCTAAGAGGCTAACAGATACAGTGGACTGTATAGCCCTGCTATGACCCAACACCATCTAGACACTAAATCATAGTTAGTTACTGTGAAATTAGTTTCCTTTCAAAAACAGCATGTTAATTAACCATGTACTAATTATCTTGCAGTGGCATGAAGTAAATATGAAAAACAGTGTACTGGTTATATCCAAAGTGGACCTCCAGCCTCTACAAGATAGGTTATAGTTCCCATATAGGTCAGATTTCAACCGTTGACCAGATTTACCAAAGTACCCAACCTAATATTTCTGTAAAATCATTATAATACATAATAGTTTGTCAGCCCTTATAAATTCTTTACCATTGCCAGCAAATAGGTTTTCTATTGTGTCTGTAAATCTACTGTTGATACAATTATCATTATGATTTCTAAAACTATCATGAAATATATGGTATGAAGCAATGTTGGTGTAAATTTGATTTATAGATTAGCACAGAACAAAACTCAGAAATACCTTAAACCGAAGTAAACAAGCAACAAAAACTAAACAAATGTCAATAATAAATACAGTGCTTGTCTGATCATTATAAATGTGAACATAATGAACTCACATGAACTTCTTTCTGCCTATCAATGAACAGGACTCACAAAAAAAGAACACACACACACACACACACACACACACAAAGGTAGATTGAGTTGTGGTTCCTAAAATGCCTTTGGTGCTGAATGGAGTGACTGGTTATTTTAGGCATAAGAGAGGGAGGAAGAAACAGGGAGTCAGATATACTGAGAGAGAAAATGTGAGATAATGAGCAGGCCAGTGTGACAAACAGTCTGTCTGTCTGCTGCAGAAACCCCATCAATACTCAGTCAGTAGCTAAGGCATGTCAACACAGTGAGTTAATATCAGAGGGGGCAACTGAAAACCTGGTGCCCTCCAGCCCAGCAAAAGTGTGGTCTACTCCCAAAGTTTGTTTAACACACAATTTTAAGCTGCGTGACTTCTTTTTCTCTGCCTTACAACTCAACTACATAACACTGTAAAGAATATGTTAAAAATATTGAATCAACATAAAGTTATTTTGGCTCTCACTCACCAATGGTTTGGTTTTCCTGCTTTTGAGCTTCTTCTTTGGTTTCCTGCATTTACTCAGTGTGAGGTTTTTGGACAGAAACACCAGTCGCTCCAACACTCGCCCAAAGATGCGTCTCATTGGAAAACCATTGAGCAAAAACACACATAGCAGCTTGTGTATGTGTGTGTTTGATGATTTAGAAAGTGGTCTCTTCGCAGGTGAGGATGTGTTTGATATGTGTGAATGTCAGACTGTGTGTGTGTCATGGCAGGAAATACAAATATAAGAGCGTGTCTGAATGAAGGAGGAGGGGAGGGAGTCAGCTTTCAGTAGCTCCAGTATGAGAGGGAGAGAGGGTGAAGAGGAGGAGGAGGAGAGGATGATGGGAGATAGCAAAGAGAAAGAGAGAAATGCCTGCTAGCAGTGGCAGACCATGAGACTGAATTGATATGGTCCAGTCATCATCATTCACCTCTGATACTGTGGATGAAGTTAAAGGTGTGACCACAAAAATCATCTGAGCCCAGTGGGAGCATGTTATTCATCAGATTCAGGCGTGTGACTAACACTTCACATACATTTACCACTTTCCTAGCTACTAAAAAGGCAGACTACCAGTGGAAAAGTTTAGTTTCTAGAGAACATGTTTTCATTAAATTGCATGCTGTGGAATTTTCAGGTATCAACAGGTGAAATGCTGAATTCAAAATGGTAAGTTAACAATCTAAGTGTCAGTATCATCCATAAAAATAGAGCTATACTAACAATAAAATACTTGTATAAGTAGATTAATGTAATGATTTAACTGAGGGCTTAATCAGCCAATCACCATGAATATTGTATTATTATCTACTTTGTTTTCAAATTTTTCCCGTTATTTTTTAGGTAACAATCTTGCTTTCTCTAGATTTTAAATTTTGACATTAAATATCTTACTTTTTCTTACAATTCTACATATATTATTGTGCTTACACACCGCCATACTTTTCATATATTTTACCCAATGTAGTTCTAAATTAATGGAATTAAGTCTCATTACATATATATTCTATTTACCTGCTGCTCCAAAAACAGACATCAGTCAGGTCTGATCTAATACCTGAAACAATTTAGAAAAAAAGATTCCCTACAAATTCTCAAATAGATACAACAA